TTTAACATCCAATTTGTACTTGTTTTAATAATGCACTAACTACAATAGATACTGAGTTTGACTATACATGCCTGATGCATTGAAATGCAGTTCTTTCAATGTTCTAAACCTCAAACAGAATTTGTGATTCTTTCTTTGTTCTAATTCCTCTCTTTCTATATATACATTCAGAAGGATTCAAATTGTGAAATGCACATAGTTAACAGTGCAATCTTATACATACTTGCCTTAAAGCTGCTAATTTGGTCATATTTTGTTGACCACTGCTTTGCACAGGCTCAAAATCTGGACCAATTAAGCTCAAAGCACCTGGATTTTAGCAACACCACATTCAAAATGATGAAATGACACAAAGGACTCAAAATTAAACAGGAATTGATTAAAGACTTTATTTAACAAAGTTATAGAATCCAACAGTCAGCATCATGGTTTACTTGAAAACAGATCAAAAGTTCTCCTGTGATTATATTATCAGCAGCGCAGATTAGACATAACATAAATCTGAACCTAATTAAGAGTTATGCCATTGAAAAAGGCAGCAGTAGCTAACTAGGGGACTAGAGGTTTAAACAATATGACTCCTACACATTGCATTCCAGCACTTTATTTGTATTTCACAGCTAGCAGTCTCATGTATCCTACTTGCACACTAAATGAATATAAAAATACAGTGACTTGAGAAATGTGAAGGGTTAAGTATCCCAGTGGCACTTTAGAGGTTTCCTAAGCTAGAATTCTGAAAGAACAAAAAGGATAAACACCAAGCTTTTTCCCAATATAGTTCCCAACCTGAGGCAGAAACCCCAAGTCCCAAGCTTAAAACAATAGGCTGTATCTGAAGTTCTGAAAACAAAGGGTTTAAATTAGGTAGAGAAAAGACTGAGTCTTCACATCCAAAGATCCTAGAGTTACAACAAAGTCAAGAAAGAAAGAAACAAGAGACATACCTGCTTTGGAATGGGCTGCAATGGGCTAAAAAGAGTCACAAGGAGGGCCTGGTAAGCCACTTGGTACAACTTTCAGACCCAAAAGGCATATGGAGCTGAAGCAACCCTATTTGGTCCCCACCAGCCCACTTTTCTCTTAAAGAACCAGTCGAGAAAAAGCAAACAAAAATTGCTTTCCTGTCCCCTCCTTCCCCTGCTCTGCTTCACCCTTTTTAAAAAGCCAAGACACACAAACATACAAACACACACAGACACAGGAAGGTTTGGTTTTCCAAAGGCCATGCGAGAAAAACACTTCCATGGAGCTGAGGAAGTGTTTAATATGACTGTATCATCAAGCGGTGCTCTTATTAAGCTACTTGACAATATTGCCAAATGGAAAGAGGAAGACTTTTTTGGTCCATTCCAAGCAGCCACATGTACTGGAGGCAAACTAAAGTAGATCCTCCTTCCCATGCCCCTGCTCTGCTTCACACTTTTTAAAAAGCCAAGACACACAAACATACAAACAGACACAGGAAGGTTTGGTTTTCCAAAGGCCATGCGAGAAAAACACTTCCATGGAGCTGAGGAAGTGTTTAATATGACTATATCATGAAGTGGTGCTCTTATTAAGCTACTTCACAATATTGCCAAATGGAAAGAGGAAGACTTTTTTGGTCCATTCCAAGCAGCCACATGTACTGGAGGCAAACTAAAGTAGACTGATCCTACCCACATCCAAAATAGTAGAAGCCCCTTGAAAGGGGACAGAAAGGTACAGGTAGGAACACTCACGAGGGGGGGTCGTAGTTCACTCTAGCAAAGATGTCATCTGCTCACTGTCTTTTAGAGTGTGTCAAAGTGACCCTGCAGCTAAACACCTGTCTGATCTGGTCCCTGAATGGTGGGGTTCATAACAGTAACAAATCAAACTGCAATCATAATGTATTTAGGAATCCCTCCTTCCATATTTTCTCTTGGAGCCCTTTAACACCTCCATAGGTTTTCTAATAGTACTCTGAAACCAAACTGATTTCAATCACAATTAAAATCAGAAAAAATGGATTAAAAAGGATTTAAATTTTAAACATCAATATTTAAAATTTTAATGATGGTTTAAATCCATTTGGCTTTTAAAAAATCATTTACAGTATTTTTAATCACCCTGTCTGAAACTGTTAGAAAGCTCTTTCTTATCAGGACAATTCACCTTCTTGACACTTTCTCCCTGTATATCACACTAAATTCAAGGTTGCTGAGACCCAATTCCAGCTATTGTTTGCATTGTTATGATCTCTCAATCAGCAGGCATCCAGCAAAGAAATTCTCTGACTCCTTATCATCGCAGGTGCTGGCCATGAACTGCTCATTAGAGTCTCAGCATGCACTGAAGCTGGTCTCTTCTTTCTAATCAACAGCTGTGAAGCTCCTACCCTCTGAACCTCTGCTGTTCTTTCTGCATCTCTACACAATGCAAAACAAGCACACTGTTCTATTCTAATACCTCAGCTTCTCAGAGCCTTTATTTTAGAGATGTCATACTAGCTTAGATTGAAAACATTATAAATTACAAGTCAAGGGCCTTTATTTGCTTATGAGACTGGAGCTAAGAATACAATTCTACAGTATTTCCAAATGTTCATCCAGGGTATTTGTTTGGTCTCTGACAGACCTATTTAACCCTTTCAGTAGCAGATAAATAGGTGGAAACTCCACTTACTTGGATTTATTTCAAAGTAGATATTGACAGATTTGCATTGTAAGTTCTGACCAAGAGTTGAAAAGTTCATCTGTAAATCTAAGTATAGCAAAATGTCTCAGAAGATCTACAATTCCATCTGTATCTTGAAAAATACAGTACATGTCAGCATTACTACAGTACCACAATGCAGCCTATAGACTGTATCAATCTGACTGCCAGCCTGCTGCATCTGTAACACTAGCACACTCATTAGTGGAAAAATGTTCAGATTTATAGTATCCTCCTCTCATCAAAAGCACTTTATTAATAAATGGACAATATTACAGATTAGAGCAATATTTTCACTTCTCCATAATGAACTCTATTGAAGTGTATACCCAAAGGCACAACAACTGTCATTATGTACTAATTGTTCAGTTTTGGGCTTGCATGTTCTCCCCTACCACACCACACCCTGGTGTTCTTCCTTTCATGGGGACTCAATGATCCTGAAACCATTTGCGTCTTTTTCGATCAACGCCATGTTTTCTGGAAAAGATAAATTACTTCGATAATGATCTGTTTAAACAAGCCAACTTCAAGTTATGGGCGTCAAGGCTCGTTTATTTCAGCAAAATAACCAACAGACACAAAAGTTTATGATCACCTTCTAAATGCAACAGAGAAGGGTAAAGAGCATAAGAGTGAAACTCACACAGACTCACTCCATTACAATAAACTATAATTTCCTGCAGCCAAAAATCTGTCTTTCATTTCACTAGAGCAAATCCCTTCTATCTTCCTTTCGATTAACATCCAAGCTGAAGTCAGAAGACTAAAGGGATATCTTCTCTTACATGGGGAAAATTAATACATTAATATCATTTCTAAAAATAGGAGAAGTGTGGGAACAATTTCATGTCAGTTGGAAGCCAGTTACAAATGCCAAACAATGGCACATTTCAGAAGCAAGAAAGATATGCTTTGTTGGCCACAATACAGATTTAAGATGTAAAACATATGCACCCCAAAGAGGCATATGAAAGTTCCCATATTACATGTGCTCCCACTCACTGCTGGTCACTGGAACTGACATTCTAACCCTTCAAAGTAACTAACTTGGGGGAAACACAGGAGTTTAGAATATGTAACACACTTTATATGCTTACTAGAATTATGCTTATGTTGGCCATCAGCCCAGATTTAGCAGCAAAATCATTTACATATTCACTCACATAACTTCAGTAGTCACAACTGAATTCTCCAATAATTCCTCTCATACAAAGACAAATATAATTCTACTCAAATCTATGAGATGAACTTGCGGGCTGTATTCGTAATCAAATGTGAAGTCTTCTTTGTATCACAGACATTAAACAAACTTTTTTAAAAGGTTCTATAAGAGCAAACAGAAGTGACCATTCATGCAGAAGTATTGATGTGGTACTGGCCTCATCACACATGGCAATTATAGTAATTGCATAAGGACAACAACTACAGATTCCATAAGTGAATTTGACATGAGTGAATTTGACACAGTCCTCACAAAAACTGCCCTGTGCCACACTTAATTACAGTACATCACACACTTTGTCTAATCACAGATCAACTAGACATCTTGGTCTTTATATTACAATTAGGAAGACCCATTGTTATTAGAACAGGACCTCAGCTCTCTTTGAAAGCAGATTACTTTCAATGTGAAGGGCAACTGGAATGTAGGCACATGCATACTTTAAAAAGGAGGAATTATTAAAAATATTGGTGCCTTGAGGAATCTTAACCAATGATTTTTCATACTAACAAAGGTAAGAATTTCTGTGCCCTATGGTCTGTATCCTCTTAAGTGTTACTGGCACAGAGCTAAAGTCACAAAAGGGGTTGAAGCCATATGGCACAATAAAGCCCAAGAGGGTAGTAGCTTCCCTCATATTTTCTCATTGTCCCTGCTGGCTGTTTCTGGCTAAGAACTGCAGTACCCTAAACACGTATGATTGGAAGTTGCTAGGAGCAGCACAATGGAGGGCAAGTCTTCCATTATAAAAAATTGCTACTGTCAGTAAAGTCATCCAGCCACTGTGGCCCCAACAGCTTCTCAACAATGAAAGGGAATCTACAGGAACCTTGGGGCCTTCAGAAGGGAAATCAGAAATGGTTGTTGTGGGTTTTTTGGGCTCTTTGGACATGTTTTGAAGTTTTTCGGGCCAAAGAGCCCGAAAAACCCACAACAACCATTAGGTCCCAGCCATGAAAGCCTTCGCGAATACATTGAAATCAGAAATGCTTTATTTCTGAAAAATCATGATGTGATTACACCATGATATTCTGAAAAATCATGGCCTAACATACATAATAGGATTTCAGGCAATGATTATGGGAATAGTGTTTACTTGGAACTGTTCTTCTGATTGATCCATAAAACTTCCATGGTGCAGAGATTTGCTCTTTTCTTCATACCTTGTGTTTTCCTTGATTAAAGCAAAAAAAAATTAATCTTGAATATGTTTGCTTGAATCATTTCAGCATGTTCTTCAAATTAGCAAAAACAATCTATGCAAGAATATTTACCTCAAAGCATAAGTAGAGGATAAACATCTTTTATACTTCAGATCAATTAAACCCACATGCACACAAAAATAAGTTCTGCCAGTGACTATAAATAAAGCAGCCATACATCAAAAATGGGAAGGAAAAAAAAAAGGCATTCAGCTGGTGAAAAAGGAGCTATTGGCCACTGGTTAAGAATGTAACTGGTAGAAATTAGGAAGGCAAAAATTGTCTTTTAAATATGATACACTTTGTGTATCAAAAAAGCATCCCTACAACTGAATTGGCATCCAACTCCATACTGTACCATTCCCAAGTTATGCACATTTGTGTCGCTTTGTCTGTAAGCAGACAAGGGGAGGGGGCAGAGAGAAACCCAGAGGAATGTGAGGTTTTATTTTTTCTGTTTTGAGGGTTTTCTTTTTTTTGTGGGGGAAGGCTGCAAGATAATTGTGCAATATTTCATCAGAAAACATACTGGTTACTTCATCATTATGTCTGAAGAAGTGGACTGCAAACCACGAAACCTCATACTGAAATAAATGTGTTAGTCTTAAAAGTGCTGCAATGTTTGTTTTTTGTTCTTGCACAACAGTTGTGTGACTGCTGAGTATTGTGTATCTGTACAAGGGCTAGAAATAACAACAAATTATACTACTTCCCTCAGTTACCTCTTGGTTTTAATACAGAACAGCCGGAAAATGCCAATTCTTAATAGTATCAATAAAGCCACGGAAAAGTTATACCTGGAAGTGGCTCCATTCGCCTGACAAAGTAATACTGTAATAAGCTGTCAGCTAATGTCAAGTCAACAGAAGGATGTAGCAAAATAACCCCACTGCACAACAAGAAAACAATTTTGAAATGACAAGCCAAAATGTACCACTCACCAAACATGTGGGTTTATACATCAAGGAAATATAAGCATTTCCTTATGAGAAGTTTATTTGTGCTTCATGCATTTCTCCATAAAGAACTGTAACACAATAATTGTACCATATTTGTAATGCATGTAAAGAAATAGAAAAAGGAGGGGAAAAGGAGGTAAAGAAACGGCTTTCTTCTGATTTCAAGACTGCTCTTCCACAGGTATGTCCTGTATTTCCTAAAAGATAGAGCCATTGGGGAAAAGTGATCTGGATCCTTCTGTCTGGCCTATTCCTTGTCTTTGACTCTCTTTTTTTACCAATAAAGGATGAAGAAAAAGAATGAAGTTGGTATTTTTTTAATACCTGCTGCCTCACCCAGTAGAACAACTGCAGAGTTGGAAGGGATGCCAGGAGTCATCTATTTCAACGCTTTGTCAATACAGAAACCCCCACGTCTAAACCATCACTGACCGATGGCCCCACAAGCTCTGTTTAAAAACCTCCAACAAAGGACAGACTGGCACCTTCTAAGGTAACCCATTCCAACGGTGAACAATCCCTACCACCAAGATGTTCTTCATTTTTCCCCCTTCTAATATGAATATACTGGTACAGATTCTGCCTCTAGAGCTGAAGGAAAAAAAAAACTCCAACCCGACAATCTTCAACTGTTTCATGACAGTCATCGCCTCATAATTCTTCTCTTTCCCAGATAAACAATACCTAGTTCCCTTGTGATATGTATCAACTGGTATTTTTCTGGGAAGCTCTGTTGTAAAGCCAGAAGCAAAAGCAGCTCTGCCCGAAACAACGGTGGGAACGTAAACAGAGAATCACATACTCCTCTTGAGAAGTTTCATAAAGAGAAAAAGCTGAAGATATTCCTCAACAATAATGGGGTACATTGGAATTAGGGAAAGCATACAGCAGCTGTGACCTTCCCTTAAATCCAATCTAACCTATTCACAACCAGCACTCAGCAAATGAAGCCTACATATCACTTGCCAAATAATGAGCCAAGCATTCATCTGAGGATACCTGCCTATGTAAAATATGGGGAAAGGTTTCCTGCCCCCAGCTCCTACATTTCTTCATCAGGCCATGTATAGATGTTTAGGGTTCATCTCTTAGAAGCTCTACCTATCCTGGCAAAAGGAAAGAGTTGTGGAAGCGATAGTTGAAAACAGCTGGAGAATCAAATGTTCTTTCCATCCACAATGCAGTCTTTATGAAAAAAAACACACACACACAGATGTGCAAATTGAAGCATTCCGTTTCAACAGGGTTGTTTGTTTACTACAAGGTTTCAGATCTTCTAACTGAATATACAATTAAATGTTCATTTAATTGATAATTACCTATTACATTCTATTATATTCAAGCCATCACTATTCTCTTTCATCATTTTGTCTCTTCTCTCCCAACTAGAGATGGGAATGAACCGGCGGTTTGGTGGCTTGTGCCAGATTGTTTATCAGCCAAACAGGTGTTTGGCACCTCCTCCAGGAGGCACCCACTCAGAGGCAGCACCCAGAGGAGGTGGGACAGGGAAGCTGGGCTGCTACCCCCTGAAATGGGTGCCCACCAGAGGAGGGAGGGCTCTGAAGTGTCAAACACCTGTTCAGCCAATAAATGAACCAGCACAAACTGGCAGTCCATGCCCATCTCTACTCCCAACCTACCCTCTTTAATCTAATTGTAATCTGTAAATTTGTTATCATATAGTATAAAAGTTAAACAAGATTAGCTCATGCCTGATTCTTTCAACTGCAGCAAAAAAAGAAGATGGGTTACCCACTGCTGGTGAAAGAGAATTCAAGGGGGAAAAAAGAGGCTCTAGAATGCCCATTCAAATTAAGCAAAACTAAATTCAAAGTACAATTGATATTCTTACTTACAGCTTTCCAATTTATGATAAATATAGTGTTCATTTATTTCTTATATTTTGGAATTTGGAAGGGTTAAAACAGAGAGCTCTATTGGTGAATATTATAAGTTCAAAAGCACCCCTACTTCCTAAATCATATGGAAACTTACTAGCATGTAAAAATTCCTGATACATTCATTACTAATACACATGAAATACTAAAGAAATAACTGATGTGTTTTCTTTTTACGAACTGATATATGTGGATGTCATTTTGTAAAAAGGCATTTACTGTGGTGTTTTTACCATATTCTTTGTCATCATTCATAAAAAGTTAACCATATTTTATTATTGCATCTCATTTGCAATCTGTGAATATGAGAGCTCCAAAAGACATTATAAAAAACTTAAACATTGGAAACATTAACATTAGCTGGGAAATAAAAGTTCTGGCCCAATCTGGAAAATAGTGCTTGTATTAGGTCAAAATCTTGGCTAACGGTGTTAGAGTACGATTTTTATTTTATGTTGTTTTGTTTTGGAAGCAGCAACAGTAACAAACTGCTGAAGAGCGAACAAAAGTCTTTTTGTTTCACCTTTGGCACCCCTCTGTGGTTTGAATTTCATAGAACATTTATCCTTTCGATTGACTGAAAGATAGAAATGTCTTGACCGGAACCTTTCTGGAATCTGCATAAACTTCAAGAAAGGGCATAAATAAGACTTTAAGTGAACTGAAAAGTCCTGCTTTGCAGTATCCCTTAACCTCAGAACAGCTACAAATCACAGAAGACTGAATAATCTTCTACCCCCAAAGTGTAAACATTTTTAGCAAACCATCCTCAACGGCACTCAAAAGAGGCAAGTATCGTATACTCTCATATTATATGTGCCTTTCTGCAGCACTGAAAATAAAGGAACTGTTTCATATCATTATGGCAACCATTCTCAAAGGAATGTCTTTAATTTATGTATTGCAAATACATGAAGGGTTTTCTCGTGTGTCCTGAAAGTGAACAACTTAAACATCCAAAATACTCTAACATCCAAAACACAAAGGAACAAAGTGAGGCCCTTTTAAAAAAATAAAATCTGGATCTCAACTTATACCACATTATTTCAAATTATAAGATACTAGAAACTATGCAAGAAATAAAACAAAATACTTCTCTACTTGATCAACTCATAATTTAGAACAATCAACATAGACTACCAGAACATTATTCTATATCACATTGTCACTGGGGTCTATATACTTCCTACCTGGGCATCTTCACATTAGAAGCTCTCCCCATGACCCACCTGAGGGGGGGGGGCAGTTGCAGGGAGCGGTCAAGAGGCAGCATTGCCATGCCAGCTCTCTCAAAACTAGCACAGGGAGAAGGGCACAGGCCTAATGACACATACATTGCAAGGTTTCTAGCCCAAATTTATGAGATGCCAAATCTTATGAACACCTCCTCCCTCCCTCTTGGGTCGTATGTAAAGGATAGCCAGCATGGGTTTGGCCTCTTTTTCACTGAGCAGTCAAGAACAAGATGACATTGTTGCCCATTCAGAGGATATTCTGCTTCTCAATGGCAGGTTTTTCTGCAAGATCTACTAAAAAGGTAAAGCCCATTGCTTCTAGGCATCTAGATGGCAGTCTTGACACTAGGGACAGCAGCACCTGGTAGAGAAGGAAGAAGACTCAACTCAACATTCTTGGACTTACTGAGGAGGGGGGGCTTTGTAACAGACCCTAGCATCCTTAGGTCCACAGCTACATTGTAGCCACACCACTCTCAGGACTGTACTGCTTCCCTAAACCCTAAATGTAACAATTAGTCACCTAGGATTGTACTCTTAAAAAACTGTATTGGTCAACTCACATTCTTCTCTCCTCTCATGGTAGGAAAGTTTTGGGTGGTCTGATTGTATGCACAAAATACATGGGGTTCTATCATCCATCCCTGAGCAGGGACTAGCTATATTACTCAATAGTGGACTGACCGACCTTGGAAGACAGTACATTCATGATAAGCATTTTTTAAAAAAAAAAATCTGAAAAGAAGTCTTTACATTTGAAATACATAAAAACATTACTAGCTGGACTAGTAGAGGCTCTCTCTCAAAGGTTCCTGTGGCCACTCTGAACTTGTCTTGAAGGAGCCTTCCCCTCTGGCATACGGAAGTGATTTTTTTA